TTTATTTTTCTGGCACAGGCTGGGATTTAAGTTAGCAGTACTGGGTTGTTCCAGCATGCCCCCAGGGCAGTGAACTGTCACTGCAGAGAGCTGGAGTAAACAGCACTCGAGGTGCACATAGAGATGTTCTGCTTTCTAGCTGAAGTTGCTCAGTAATCTGCGCCTTGGCACCATGCAAATGAGCACTCTGATATTAACTAAGTGCTTAGGCATTATTACCTCATGGCATACATTTTCTGTTAAAGGGCATTCCATTTTCTTCCACCACAGAAAGAGAAATATGTGAAAGTTTTTTGTTTTGCTGGTTATATCCTTGATAATTTGGTATCTTTAGATGGATGCACCAGAACTACTCAGAAGTGCATTGTATATACTAATTTGCTTATCTGACAACTTCTTTGATTTGTTACGACACTCTTGGAGACAAAGCACCATACCCTGACTGCAGGCAGGACAGTGACCTCCCAAACCTAGCAAGGAGGGACGAAGAGCTACTTAGCTGTAAGAGAGCTCCCAGAATCCAGGCTGATAGAGGGAAGTGTGATTCTGCATGAACTGAGGCTTCTGCTGTACTGTTTAGTCAAATTTCAAGGGAGTGTATGTACTTTGGAGTGTGCATATTACATGCAGTGTCAATCCGAGATTTACTGGAGGGGGAAGTGAAGCATCATGTGCTGCAACGCCAAGGGGCGAGTTCCTTGCCATGTGATGGGTGGGAGCCTTCACCACCCCTCAGCTGCCTATCTGCTGTGTCTCAGACATCTCTGTGCTCTGCTGCTGCCCTGAATGGAGTGCCCATCACCTTGAAAGGAGCTGTTTTTGCTCCTCTGTGACAAAAGTTTTGAGGTGCCATTCGTGCAGAAGTCTGCTGTGTCTCTGTGACCAGAGAAGTTCTGGCTTATAAAATGCAGGTACAGCTGCAAACACAAATACCTTTCAGTGCATGAATTAGCGTTTGTGTTGTCAGTTGTGAGAACAGCCCTCACATGAGGACTTAGTGCTGAAGTAGTGTGCTGAGCTTTTATGCAACTGTATCAGATCTCCTTGAGTATATTCTTTTCTTGGGTATGGAAGAACATGAGTAAGCAGCAAATTAATGAAAAATATGCCCATTAAAAGAGGGGAAAAAAGTGGTATTCAAATCTCAAGAGGAAGAGGAATGACTCTGGACAGTTTATCTTTCCCTGGTGTGGTGAAAAAGGACTTATCATCCCTCAGCCATAGGACTCTGGTTCTGAGCTCCCACCAGTAATCCGCCTGTCGGGATGAATGAGCCCAGCCAGTTTCCCAAGCTTTCAGCCAACTGGGAATGCATTGTGCACACCCAGAGCTCTTCTGCAAAGGCTTTGAAGTGAGAGGAACTTTGTGAATTACTGAACAGTGCTGTGCAGGGTTTTCTCTTGGGGAGATCTCAGCCAGAATATACACCACCTCTGGGATGGAGACTCCAGTGCTCTGAGGCTTCATCCACTGGGGCTGGTCCCTAGATGCCAAAACAGGGGAGTGCAGAGGCGATGGATGTTATGTCTGGGTGCCACCAGGAGTGCACTGCCATTCCAGTGCTTGCAGATTACTTTCGGTGAGGTTTGGTGTGAGAATATTTGCAGGAAAATACAGAGCTCCTGAATGTGGTGCTCTGGGATTTAATGGCAGCGTGAGCAAAAGGCAGTATATGCCTGGGACGTACTTGTATCAGTCATATTAAAGGAAAAATGAATGAATAAATAAAATTCAGTGGTGCTCTCAGGTGATTGCATTTTGCTCCTGGATACAGGTCTCCATACAGGACAGGACATGTGGTTAAAGGAGCCACATCCATTTTCTTCTAAAACTGACCTTTCTGCAATGTCTACCTTGGTTTTTGCTTTTTGTTTTGCTTTCAGTAAATCTCTCCGTGGATTATCTTCCTTTTTGCATGAGGACAACTTTATGGTGGCATGCATAACCCAGAGGTGGTATCTTTCTTGGTACTACTGCAGACATTACAATTGCCATTAAAAACGTGGACTGCTGAAAAGACTGGTTTACTAAAAATAATAGCATACTAAAACCCATGCTCTCTTCACAAATGTATATTGATTTTTTTTTTTTTTTTTTTAAGTAATAACCTTGACAGGTGCCCACACTATTTTTTTTTTTTCCTTAGTGTGGTCTTTAAATTTTCATCCAAAGTATTAGCATAAATTTTACGGGATTTTCTGGGCATATTTGTGTCTGTATCTAAGATATATGATATCAACTGGCAGTGATGGTTGAACTAATCAAATACTACTGACAAGTTAAAGCAAATTTTTAGGACTGTGAGATTTTGAGCGTCTTCCCAGATACAGTATCTCCTGACTGAAAGCAGTCCTTGACTGTCAAGTTTAAATACCAGATTTGAGACTTAATCTTTGTGTAAGCAAAACACCCCAATAAGAAATATGTCTGAGTAAAGCCAAGAAGTCAGGTCCTCCCCTTAAACCTAGCCTGAAATGTGTGTGTGTGCTTATGGCCCTATTGCCATGGTATGTGAGCGATCCCAACCAGTGGGAACCAAATGAGTCTTAGACTGAATGGACTTCTATTTTTCTCTCTCTTTTTTTTTTTTTTTTTGACTTGGCATTTGTTCCTCCTAGCAAACATTTTTAAAAACTCTCTTATTGCTAGAGGGAAAATTGACACCCTTTGCTTTCACGATGATACATTCCTAACACGTTTCCTTGAAGAGCTGGAAATGGTGCAAAAATCTGGTAAGATAAGTCTCTGCAAAGCCTTAGAAGTCAAGCATTCCACTTTAGACATTTAAGACAAATGCATGGCAAAAACAAGTGCTTTTTTTTTTTTTAAAGGTTTCTACTTAAAGTTCTGTGCCAAAGCTACAGTACTTATACATTTTCTAAATGTGTTTTAAGCAATAAGTTGTACAACATTTTTAGAACATGTGTTAAGCTATTTCTCTAAGAATGAAGCTCTTAACAAAACATAAGCACTCTGCATGAGATCTTAGCAGCAAAGTGCTTAAAAGATAAAGTAAGAATTGGTACCATGGGAAGAACACCAGCTGTAGAGCACACAGGTCCATTATGAGAAGTATGGTAGTGGGTAGGGAGAAAATGATTTAATCAGGAGTAAAACCAATTTTATTATAAGGGCACGCAGGGGGTGTGGCACCATAGTGAGAGGGACATTTCAAAATATCTGACAGATTTCAACAATGTGAAAACCCACCCTGTTCTTTAAAGTGACAGTAAACCCCATCAGGTCTCTCTTTTTGATGCTATTGTTAACAGTTGACTGTTTAAAGCTGGCCTGCTAAGTTGCTGTCGATCTAGTTCAATAGTGTGTGGCAAAAGAAAAGGCTAATTGTTGAAATACGATCAATCAAATATGATCTCAGAGTCTAAAGAAGATCCCCTCTGATAACTCACTTGAGATCAAATCATTACTTTTATGATGGAGGTAATGCAACGAAGAAAAAAAAAAAAGGGCCTGAAACCAAGACAACTAAATAAAGTGCACAAGCGTGCCTTTGTTCCTCTTTTGTCTCGCATTACTCCAAATTAAGGAATTGAGTCCATTTCTTTATTTGCAAACATTTCCCAAATGCAGAAATTTAAAGAGCATTAAATAATGTTTATTCCACAGAAGTCGAAAGATGACTCCATTCTGAATGACATTTTTCAGTCCAAAAGCAAGCTCTATAGTGAGAAAAAACTATTGCACTGAAGTACCAGGGATCTGGAGTTGTGGGTGTCCATGTGTCTCCAATAATTGTACCATTTTGTTTAACAACAGTTCACTAAAGAGGCTGCTCTCGAAGCCAACTGAATTGCTAAACATGAAAATTCAGTGACATTCAGTAAAACATTTCAGGATTCTGTTGCTTCAAATTAAATTTGTGCAGTAGTTCTCATGGTTGGCCCTTGATTTGCATTCAGAAAGAAATTTTCTAAAAATGAGTATCACAGCACATATATAAAAAGCAAACTCCATTTTTGGAGTAGCAGGACTGGAAGAAAGTGTATGTCATTTTAATTTGATCTAATAAGGACTTACACTTTCTGTGAGTTTTATGTGGATTATGATCTCATTGTTTATTCTGTTCTAATAGTATCACTCCACTAGAAGAAAAAAAAGAGGAGAGAAAACAGAATAATCATCCAATCTTGTTTTATTTTTTTATTAGAAACTATTTTAGCATTTAGGTTCTTTTATATTTAAATTCCTTAGCTCAGCCAAGCTTCAAAAGAAAACATTTTTTTTTTGTTTGTAAAACAGTTTTGTAAGCACTTGTGGTTTGTCTTTAGTGTGTTATCATTTCTGACAGCTTTGCATAGCCTAGGTAGGCCAACAGGGGTCTGTCTAATATTGTTGCTGGGCAAATCTTCCTCCCAGAGATGAAAACCAAACAAAATATTTTTGAAGCAGTAAGAAGGAATTAATATCCTTTCTCTCACAGTACTCTATTCCTTGCTGACATTACATTCAGGCAAAAAAAAAAGGAGAAAAGCGTTTCCCCATTATTCCCTTGTACATAGCAAGGCTAACACATGTAAAGCAATAACTCATTTTCTATTGCCATGTTTAGCATATGTCTCCTGTTGGCTCAGCAAGGCCTTTAGGCCGGTCCCTTGAGCCGGCCATCATTGGCAACTCTTAGCCCCTCGGCCTCAAAACCAAATAGCTTTGAATCATGTTGAGCGGTGATGCTAATTTTCATACCGATGCATTATGGGAATAAATGTATCTGACATACTGTGTCAATGGTACTGTCTCTTTGTGTCTCTTGTTTTTTTGTTAGCTGCATTCCTACAGATGGTATTCCATTGAAAATGTTCTCTTCCTACAGAAAAAAAAAAAAGGGGGAAAAAAAAAAAAACATGCACAGCACCAAACCTCTAGGTGCAGAAGGCTGTTAACGGTTGCTGATGATAGTAGGCAAACATTAACATAATAATTAGTGTCTTGTAATTGTTTCATTAAAACCAGTTGTTCCATTTCTCCTCGTGTTTTCCCAGAAGAGAAGCTGAATTTGGACGACAGCCAGTGGGAGGACATCCACGTTGTCACCGGAGCACTCAAGATGTTTTTCAGAGAGCTGCCTGAGCCGCTGTTCCCATACTGCTTCTTTGAACAGTTTGTGGAGGCGATAAGTAAGTACATCAGATACAGTAGAAGCTAGTGAAATAGCCTGTTATATAAAAATAATAATGAACTTAAAAATTGAAGTACAGAGGCATCTCAAATCTGGCTTACCTTCCGTGATCCATGATCCTGTCTTTTTATTGTTTTTTGCTTGCCTTTTGCCTCCTACGGCATGTAGTTATTTAGCTAGAGAAAAAAAAAAAAAATCAAATTATTAATCTATAAATTTCATAAAAGCAGTTTAACTTCAGTGCCTAAAATGGTTTAGGAAAGGAATTAAAATGTGTACGTATTCAAAATATGCGAGGCTGATAATCCATATATCCCCAAACACAAGAGAAGGAGTAATAATGGTGAATCATGTTAGAAGGGGCTGTCTTTATGTTAATCGGAGTGAAATGCATGTGTTTTGTTTCACAAGGTTGCAGACTCTTGCCTTACAGTGATCACAAAAAGAATGCAGAAACATTTGTGTTCTCATTTTCGTATCTACATTTGTGGGATTCTTTTTTCTTAAATATGAGGCAGCAGGCAGCAAAACTATTGTCAAAGTTCAAGGCATTTATTTTGTTATGTGTCTTTGGTTTGTGTGCTGCAATCCCTCTCTGTATTTAATATCTGCAGGTGCATTTTCTAAAACTGTAGCAGCTTGGAAAAATTTAACTCAAAAACAGAGTTATTTGGGGCTTTACTCTTGAAAACTGGGGGCTGGGATGAGATAGCTTAAGGGGGAAAAGCCCGCTAGGAGCTTAATTAAAGGTCCAATAGAGAAAAATCTTCAGGAAAAACAACAACAGTAATGTACTTAGAGATCTGTTTTCTGAATGATGGGCATGCATATTTGTCATTACTGTTAATGAGAGCTGTGTGCACACATGCGCAGCTGTCAGAGAGTATGAAGTCCTTAATGTACGGCTCACTTTGATTTTATATTCATAAGAGTCTTTAGTTCAACTAAAGCTTTTCAAGACCCAGTATCAGATATAATGAGGTTAAATGTATCTCATAAGATCCGTCCCTTCTCGGTTATAGAAAGAAGCAATGCAGTTAATGCAAGGTAAGGAAATACATTACCTGGAAGTTTACTCTTGACAGTGCACTTCTTTCTTCAGGGCACACTATAAGTAGACAGAGAAGGAACTCTCTCCAGCTTACGTTCCCATTGTGTAGTCTCCAAAGTGCTAACGGAAGGGCAAAATAAGAAAAAACCTGCTTACTGCTCAGCTTTCTGAGTTTCTGTGGCATGCTAGGACAGGATGCTCTTTTGAAACATCACCGTTGAACATAGCCTTCAGGTGGTTCTCCATCCACTGCCTCTTTGGAAAGAAGCAGTGTCCCTAGTGGATGTGGTACATGAGGTACATGAATGAGGTCTCTTAAGCATGTTGTTCTGCATTTATTACATGTAGTCTGCCTTTTTACTCCCTGTTCCAGATAGTTCACCATCACACTGGTTTGCTGCAGCTAAATAGTCTTCCTGCCCTCTTCTCATTCATTCTTTGGTGTACGCTTTGGCTCAGCCAACGCCGTTGTATCGTGAAGGCCCTCATCATGAAACCATGACCATGCTATCTTCTGTTCTCACTCTCATGCTAGTATTCAAGCCCAGATGATAGGAAGTCTTTTGGAGGCTCAGTGGGAGGATTTTTATAGTAAAAATAACAGGTAACCAATAATAGACTTGTGAAATGGACTTTGAAAGCATGTCAGGATGAGACTCTTCCCTAAAGCATCAATATTCATGAGTGAGAAATTAACGTCCCTTTCTGCTTTTGGAGCTATTATTAATTCTTATTATGATTTTGAGAGCCATTATACACATTGATAGACTAACGAACAGTCATTTATAGAGGGATTTTAAAACAGTTTCTTCCTAGGAAGAAAATACTAGCACTCTAAGACATTCTTTGCACTATTTCAAATCCCTAATTCTTGTTGCTTTCTTTACGGCACATTAGGGTGATTTCTACCTATCCAAGTGTCCAATATAATCTACGATTTCCAATCAATCTTCTCTTTATTTGGCCTTTACTGCCAACGTATCTACAAATCTGTATTCTTACCATCTCTACTTAAAAACATCTATAAACAACAATTAGGTGTTTCCAGTGGTTTTTGAGCTCTTCTACATCCTAATAGTCCCGAGGCAAAGTAAAATATCTCTTGTCTTCAATGTCATTTCCATAGTAGTTGAGTCTTTGGCTAGTTTGTGCTAATTGCTCTGCCTTAGCTGCTAGAAAATTGGTCTGTGCTGAACTGCTAGAACATTTCCTTTCCACTTCAGGATGCTGTTAAAAAAAGCCTATCTGTCTTTTCTGTCCATTCTTCCAAAACTGGTGGTGTTAGCACCCAGTGCATGGGTATGCAGTACATATAGAAAGAGCACTTACTATCAGAAATAAAGCAAGCTGAAGACTGCAAGGAAAAGGGCAATTAGGACATGTTCCCTACGATAACATGAAGATGTCATTGCTGCTCCAACATCCTTCCTCCAGCATTGAGCACACCTCCATCAAAGCCACATTGTTAGAAATTGTTAGTAATACATTGTTAGTAAGAAGAAGTTGTGTAAAAACCAATCTATGGTTGGTAACAAGTAATCACAAACATTTCTTGGTGGCTTATCCATTTAGTTTGAAGTCTCTGGAGGGATGAGTACCCAAGAGGTGCCCCAGGCTCTTTATGCTGAAGCTATTTTTAAGGTTATGTAAAAAATTCCAAAGCGAGCTTAGTATTACTTTTCCTGGTTGAGGCCATTTTAATTTAGGAACAAAATATTATAGTCCTGTGTATTAGGCAGAGTGCTTTCTCTCTACCTTCAATTTCCCCTATAAGTTTAGATATGGCCATAATATTGGAAAAATTTAGATACGGCTGTAACATTAGGAGATAATTCAGGGCAATATAGATTCTCTGAATTTGGTTTGCCAGGCTGAAGCTGCTTAATTACTGTCCACGTAGCTTATATCAGAGAATTTATAAATGACAAATGGAAGGCCACAAGACCTCTGACCTAATACTAATTTTGTTGCTTAGGATTTGGAAAGCAAGTTTTTCAAGGACTTTGTCTGATATATTACTGGCAAGTCATTTTGTGGTATTTTGGATGAAATATGCACTTCTAAAGCGTGCCCAAATGCTGCTATGTAGTCAGGTTCAGCCACACTTAAATTACTTAGCACCGCAAATAGTTCTATTGATTTTCTGCAAGATCAACAGACGTGGTTCAACAGATTGTCTGCAAGTAAAATTGTACTTCATGTGAGTAAGGTGGTAGAAGTGCCAATAACTGAAACATTTACTCACCTTATTTGCAGAATTCAATCTGTATGTCCATGCAATCTTCTTACAGAATTTGTTTCGTACACTGAAACTAAAAAAAGTACCCCCAAAAGCTGTTAAAAACATCAGCAGGTAAATGTGTTAATTGCTTACAAATATTTAGTTTAATTGAACAAATTTTATTGAAAAGTCTCAGGCAGAATGCATAGGGAAAAAAAAAAAAAAAGAAATTTTGTCTACTGTGATTTCCTCTGCAGTTATGACTGGTATCCATAGAATAAAACAAATGGGAAAATTCAACATGGGAAATATTCAAATGCTGACTAGTCATTTCAGATCTCCTCACCTGGGGAAAGCTGTATAGTTGGTGCATCTGTATAGACAGTGCATCTGTTCAAATGCAGTTACAAGACAAAAATAATAAAAAACCTGATATCCCACAAAGGAAAATTCCACCAAGTTCCCAAAGCTACAGCATCTGTCACTGGTTTGGAAGGGCTGGGTTCAAATCTTTGATTTTGTCTGCCACAGGTTGGAAATGTTACTGTGTTGGAAAGATTTTTTTCAGTGAGGTTAAGTGATTGTGCCATCATTTCAATTCCTTATCTATAATATGAATTTACTAGGTGGCACCTAAGTACTGTAAATAAACAGGTGATTTATCTTTTAAAGTGCACATGCACACAAATTAAATGCACGTATATGCTCTAAACAGAAGTCTTTTTGCCAAAATGATGATTCTTTCATAGTGAGTTTTCTGAAGGAAGGTATCTGTTGCTGCTGAGCTGTTCCTACCTAAGGCAGACAAACACAAAAGTGAGAATAATACAAATGAAGTGTTACTAAATGTGACTTTCAGGCTTCCAAGTGGGACCCATAACTTAATAGGAAGTACCTCAGGTCCCAGTATGAGGAACAGAAAACACGGTATCCATGTGAGCCACCAAGTTACTGGGGAAAAGGGCAGCAGATCTACTTAGCTAACATCATTTAGGTCCTGCCAACATAGGCCCAGCCCTCCCCAGAAACTTTAGCAGAGAAATCCTCCATCTCTGAAGATCAAGATTTTTGGTCCTAGCAGAAAATAAAACATTTGTCTACAGAGGGTGCAGTAGAGCCCTAGTCACCTCCAGGTCTTATAAGGCCACAGTTGCAGCACGCTGGGGGGTTAGATGGCAGATGAAAAAGGATTAAAGAATTATAATGGTAAAGTGCATAGAAACTATGAAATGCTCATTAGATACTCATATCGTTATTATTTTATTGTTTGGTTGTTTTGTTTTGTTTTTTGGTTGGTTGGGCTTTTTTTGTTTGTTTCTCTGATGGACCATTAACACTTTTTTCAACTGATTTCACACTTATCCTTTCGATATATCAATTAAAGTCTCTTGGTGCATGCTAAACAGAATTCACAATGTCATTATTATCAATCCTATAATGTCTTGTGCTACCCTATTATATAGAGACTGAGTAAGATGATTATTTAGTATCTGACGTATGATAGAGTTTTGTAACTCTTTGGTTTACTGAAAGAAGGTAGAACATTTCTTGTTGGTATTAGTTACTGGTTTCAGTGGTCTCATCCAACAAAGTCAATGCAGTCATGGTCTTACTAAACAGAGTGGTAACACAGCAAAGGAATAAACTCTTATTTCATTATAGCAGTAGACTGTTTTTAACCCACAAAAGCTATCTATTACTATCAGGAGAAATCAGACCTTTTCAT